ACACACACACACACACACACACACACACACACACACACACACACACAACCTTCCAGGGCAATATAGTAAGGTGCAATCTTAAAGCAAAGCCTTATGAGAGATGGCTCAGTTTTTGTTTTTTTTTAAATTTTCGTATGTGTGTATGTGTGTGTGTGTGTGTGTGTGTGTGTGTGTGTGTGTGTATGAATGCTCTATCTGCATGTACACCTGCACACCAGAAGAGGTCACCAGATCTTATTACTGATGGCTGTGAGCCACCAGTGGAATTGAACTCAGGACCTCTGGAGGAACAAACAGTGTTCTTAGCCTCTGAGGCATCTCTCCAGCTCTGATGGTTCAGATGTGAAGAGCACCTGTTGCTGCTACAGAAGGCTTAGATTCAGTTCCTGGGACCCAGGTGGTGGTTCACAACACTGTAAACCCAGCTCCAGGGGATCTGACAACCTGCGCACACACTCTCACACACTAAGGCTAAATACATAAATCTAAATTATTGTTGGGTTGATTTTGTTCTAGTGCATAACTGAAGTTTCTTAGGGGTAGGAACTATGCCCTATTCCCCTCTATACTACCTGAAGTTAAATGTGATGTGCCTAGCAGACATTTGTCTGTTTCCTCATTTCAGAGGCATGATGCTGGGGAAAGGGCTAAGAACGAAGAGAAGGCATTCCTTTTGCTTACTTCTTCTAGGATAACCATTGACTTTAAGTTTGGAGAACTTGGCCATGCCTGATGGCTCAGCACTCAGAAAGCAGAAGCAGGCAGATCTCTTGAGTTGGAGGCTACTCTAGCATACATTGTGAGAACCAGGGCAACCAGAGCTATACAGTAAGATCATGTCTCAAAAACAAACAAGCAAGCAAACAGACAAAAAGAGGCCCAGGAACTTGAAAATCAGATTATTGGTCACTTAAACAACATCCTTGACATCAGTACTGTTGCTTCAGTTAGCTTTCAATATCCTAAATAGGATCAAGAAAGTCATAAAGTTAAGTCAAAACATAGGGAAGCATTTTTAAAGTAAACTGTAGTTTAAAAGAGGAACTGAAACATAGCTGCAGTACTCATTGTCAGTTGTTCTACTTCCTTAGCAAAACCATCAGAGGAACAGCCAAATTAGAGGATGCGCACAAAACTTTGTCTAGTCTTTTTTCTTCATTTTATTTTATGTGTGTGGGTGTTTTGTCTGCATGTCTGTCTATTCACCATGTGAGTGCCTGGTACCTAAAGAGTACAGAAGAGTCCCAGGGACTGGAGTTGGATGGTTGTGAGCCATCCTGTGGGTGCTGGGACTCAAGCTCCAGTGCTCTTAACCACTGAGCTATCTCTCCAGCCCACTTTTCCTATTCTTAGTCTGATTCTGTTTTCCTAACTACTACCTCAGACAAAAATTTATGTTTTCCTAGCTGTTACCGGAAACAAAAATTTATCTGTATAGCTTTCTTTATTGAGTCTTTTATCACCAATATCTGTTTTTTATGACAAGGACTAACAGTCATATGCTTGAGATAGCTCAAATCCGTAGTTAAGCCTTTTTGAGAAAGCAGATTGAGGCAGGAAGAACTTATCTTGGGTCAGGAATCAGGAGAAGAGCACATGACTATCATTGTCTGCCTAGTCAGCAGCAGATTCTTTGATGCATGAAAGTTGGGAATTTTAAATTCCTGTATAGACTTTCCTCAAATACTCTCATACCGTGAAGATTATGAAATTAAAATAAACCTCAAAGCTGGTTGTGATGGCACATGCCTTTACTCCCAGCATTTGGGGTGAAGACAGGTAGATCTCTGTGAATTCAAGGCCAGCTTGCTCTATAGATAAAGAATTCCTGGCCAGCCAGGGCTTCATAGTTAAACTGTCTCAAATAAACAAACAACCCTTGAAGATATTCAAAAGGCCCTGTGTACTGACACACACACACAAAGGTTTTGGCTGAAAATCCAGCCAACAGCAGCAGAGGCTGTAGATGTTCGAGGTGAAATAGGAAAGAAAGGAAACAGTGCCAAATTAACTCAAAAGTAATGTAGCAACTAAATGAATTTGGAGTGGAGCTAAGTGGATGTAGGCATCCTCAAGTGAGGATGTGGTGGGGCGAGGTGGTAAGAGTGAAAAGTGAGAATTAAGGATATGTGCTATAAAGCCACTCACTGTCTGTCAAAGGATCTTAACCATTTAAGAAGGAAGTAAGAGGAGCTTGAGAGATGGAACAGCAGGGTAAGAGCATACTGTGCTGAGTTCAGATCCCCAGCAACCACATAAAAAGCCAAGTGTGGTGACAGGAGCTCACTGGGCAACCAGTCTAGTCAAAATGGTAAGCTCAGGTTCAGCGAGAAAACCTGTCTAAAAACATTAAGTGGAAGATTACAGACAAGATACTGAATCTCTGTCCTCCACAAAAATGTTCACAATATGCATACACCCCACACACACAAATAATTAAGGTAAAAAGAGAGCCAGTCATTTTATGGTCACTCCTGTACTGAATTCCCAGTATTCTAGAAGATTAATCATTATTTTTACCTCTCAGCATCCGACAGAATGATGGACGTGTTGATGTGTTTTAAGTAGGTTCACCATTATGACAAAACTTGTAAAACAGGTGTTCAAAATAGGGCTTCTGCAAAGATGTGAGCTTTGCAGCTAACAAGTCTGAAGGAAATCAAGAGAGCCACCAAGACAATGCAATGGAAAACATGGAGCTAATTATTAAAAGGGGGGGATCTTTCCTGCCTTTAAAGACTTCTATCCCAAAATAGTATAGACGATGTTTGAGGGAAGGAGGAAACAGATGCAGTCTTTCCCACCGGCTTTAAGCCTTAGGGCTTACAAAGCGTAATTTCGCAGGCACTTCGTGAGCAATCAGTACGCGCCAGGAGTTACTGTTCTGAGCGCTGGACAAAAATGAGCAACATAAGCAGTTCTGTCCGAACTTAGATTTCAGTAGGTTCCATGTGCACAGACTCCCGGGAATAAGAAGATAAAGCAGTCTGTTGTGCCTGGGGCTGTGCCGGCCGAAAATCACTGAAAAAGTAACACCCGAAATAGGCTTTAACGGATGCCAGAGCTGGTCGACCCACTAGCTCCTGGTTCAGTGTCACCAGCTTGTTCACGGGGAAGAGAAAGTCTCTTGAATTTACAGCTCATGTAATTATTACGGGAGCTGACTCCCATAAAAACTCCGAGGCAGGCAGTCTCCGCAGGTAATCCTCTCCATTTCACTGGAGAAACTGATTCATATGGCAGAAGGCTGTCAAGGTAGACACCAGCTCCCCAACCCAGACTTGCCGACCTGACCCCTCCGCGAGCTGCGCCCAGACTGCGAGGTCTGAGAGGGAGTGCGGCAGGGTACGGACCCGGAAGTTGGGAAGAGGCCTGAGAAGAGACCGACCCTGCAACCAACCGCCGGTCTCTCGGCTCTGAGCTCCGGCCCCCACTTCTCAATCACTCACCCGCCGCTCGGCGAGAGGAAGTCGGTGTCATCCTCGTCTCCGGCCCCGAACATCACGTCGGCTTTCGCCCAGATGAAGGGAGGAAGTCAGATGTCCCCAGGGCCTGTCACCGCCGCTGTCGTAAAGTGCCGTGGCAGCGAGCTGCTTTCCGGCTGGGCAAAGTCTCTCAGGGCAGTGAGGCCTAGAGGAGACCCGGAGTTGGAGAAGGTGGAGCAAAGGCAAATGAGAAGATGAGCTCCCAGTGACGCACGACCTCGCCAGCCTCTGAGGGGGTGGAGTTCCTAGGCTCTGAGCGAGGATTGGCCAGACAGCTCAGGGGGCGGGGCCAGGGCGGGAATCGGCGGCCTCTGCGGCGATCGTGGGACACGTCGAGCCGGGCAGTAGTGGCGGGGGCTTGGTCGAAGTCCAGACCGGTGAGGGGATCCGGGTCCGAGGGGAAGGCACCGGCGGCGGAGCTCGACCTGGGAAGGTAAGGCCTCTCTCTCCACTCCCTTTCCCATCCCAGTGTACTCGGCTGTCACTTCCCCTCCGAACCAGGACCCCCCGCAGCTCCTGTAGGGTGGAAGGAGAAAGAGCCGTGTGGTGGCAGGGCCCTTCCAGCGACATTGCTGTTATGACCTTAGGCTGGGTGCTGGGTACCTCAGTTTCCCCACCTACGCAAAGGACCGTGTGTCCAGTGTCTCCTTAAGCGGGTTGCCAGGTTTTAAGTCTCAAAGATCATCGAGTCCGATCCCGGTCGACGAATTTGCAGACAAGATCACAGGAGAACGAGCCACTTGGGTGTCTAGTCCGAGGTCACGCAGAGTAAAGGGCAGACCCGGTCCTTTGTATCGGAGTTCAGAGAGCTGATGAGTGAAGGAGAACCTTGGCTAGACTGTGTGGCATACAGCTTAGAAGAGGTCCCCGGTCCAAAATTGCTGGGATATTCGGGAGGTGGACGATGGAGGGGACTTTGAGGTTGAAAATCCTCAGCCCAACCTTGCTGAGCTGAGTTTTACTACCAAGGTTCTAAGTCAACATCAGTTGTTGCTGACTTCTCCGCCTCCAGTTTTCTCTCTCTCTCTCTCTCTCTCTCTCTCTCTCTCTCTCTCTGTGTGTGTGTGTGTGTGTGTGTGTGTGTGTGTGTGTGTGTGTGTGTTTGGTTAACCAGGTATCATTTTTGAACACTCCTGAACCAGAACTGGCTTAGCTGCGCTGTGGATAAGCAGATAGTGTGTCCGGGTGTGTAACATCCATTTCCAGAGATCTCATTGGAGTTCTTTCTCTCAGTTTTTCTTTTCAGTCAGGTCGGTCCTGAAAGTGTCCCTTACCAGAATGCTTTGGTCTATTCGGATGATCCTGAAGGGACTGGTAGCTCCTCTCTTCCAGAGAACTCTGTACCTCTTGGCACTTCCCCTGTGGGGCTTTTTATTATAGTTTTTGAACTAGTAAGTTGTAAGTATTCTTGCCCACAGTGGGTACTCATTAATTTTTTATTAGATTGAATAATAGAATTAATCCCTGTTCCCTTGTTCCTTAATTTACTCTCGCCTTCCCCCACCCCCCGCCCCGGGTGTGGTCCAAAGAGCCCCGCAATGGCCCTTGTCTTTTATAGGTAGCTTCCAGAAAGATAAAAATGCTGTACTGGCTGTGAACTGTCTGGGTTGCTTGGTCTCTTTTGTTCATTGAAGGTGACTGTATTATTATCTAAAACTCCAGGGGAGGGGGAAGGGGAAACAGTGTAGCTTAGATTTTATGTTATATGTTAATAATTCTTGTGAGTAAATTATTCCTGTTTATCTGCGGATAAGGCGTGTTGGTCTGCTTCCTGTGTTTATTTTACAGATTAAGATGTTTGTTAAAGCAGTAAAATCTGACTGTTAGAGCATTGAGAGACTGGAATCTGTGCACTAGGACTAGAGCCTGTAGCAATAGCTTGTTGAAATTGTGAACTTAAGTGGGTGGGGTGAATGGGTAGGTTCTAACCCTGCCCTAGGCCTGATCACACCAACACTAAAACATTTCAAGAATGCTTTCTTTCTTTCTTTCTTTCTTTCTTTCTTTCTTTCTTTCTTTCTTTCTTTCTTTCTTTCGAATATTTTTTGTTGTTGTTGTTGTTTTGGGTTTTTTATTGTTGTTTGTTTTGTTTTGAGACAGTCCATCTGTGTAGCCATAGCTGTCCTAAAATGCATTATGTAGACCAGGCTAGCCTCAAACTCTCACAGAGATGCACCTGCCTATGCCTTTCCAGTACTGGGATTAAAGACTGTGTCATTACAATGGACTAGTAATGCTTTTTTTTTTTTTTTTTTTTCAGAGAACAAAACAAAGAGAACATGTGAGATCTTTTCTTGCATTCTGGGTGGGTGTTTTAAGTGGCTTTTTAGGTATTCATTAACCCTAAAACTGGCCTGTTTGGTGACTGGGACAATAGGCAGGCATATCCGATCTTAAATTTCAGTAAGCAACATGAGCCACATACCACCAGCCTAAAGGGCGCTTTGCAAGTTATTCCAAGACAAGAGTTGTGTTTTTACCTGCTGCACTTAGGACTATGACTCGGCTAACTCAAGTATGCTGAAGTAGGGAATCATGCACATTTTACACATCTTATCCCAGCTTAAAACAGAAATATCCTCTATAGGTTTTGTTGTTTATAACCTAAAGCCTTAACTTTGTCTTCATATGGTTCTCAGAGATCAATAGACTACAGGCAACTCTTAATCTCAGCTGCCTGTTTTTATAGTTTTATTGAGCACAGTCATGCTCATTTACTTACTTATTATCTATGGCTACTTTCATCCTACAAGGTGGAGTTGAGTATCTGCAGCAGCCACGACGTGGTCCTCAGTGCTTAACTGTTTTGTCCTTTGTAGAAAGCTTATCAAAGCCTGGCCCAAATCAACATACAGAAACTCGTTCAAAGTCGCTCACAAAGAAGCCTGTCTACAGAATTTTTCTGGGTGTTTATAAAAGTTTCTGCCAGCCTTTAGAGTTGAATCCCACACCTAACAGCAGAGTGCAGGCATCTGTGTGACTCCCTCCTACCTAGTCTAGCCAAAGCATTCAACTTGATTTTCATACACATAACCACTAGACTGGCTATGTAGAGTAGAAGTCATATACTTAAGCAAGCTTTAGGGTCAAATTTCTTCACTACTTATTAATTGTATAGCTCTTGGTTAAGTTGCTAGATTTTTTTTTTTCTTTTGTAAAATAGTGGTAATGATAGTATCCATTCCTAGAGTTCTTATGAATGTCATGGGTTAACTCACGTAAGGCATAAAGTGCTAGAACAATACCTGGCAGGGTAGTAAGTACTCAGTTAGTATTAGAATATTCAACTTAGCAGGTGGATATACCTGTGCTCCACAGTTTAGCTTCTGGACTATTGAAACAGTGGTCCCTGGATCTCATGATGGGAGATCCAGGGCCATCCAGAGAGGAACCCTTTCTTCTGGAAAGAGTTTAAACTTGTTAGACATAAATTTTGTTTGTTACAGAAGACAATGATGTGTGAGACCATCCCTGACTGGAAGTGCTTAAATAGGCTCTACTGAAACTCCAACTTCACTTTAGAACCCTGAGGTAGACTGTAAGGAGAGAGTCCCTGGATTTTTCCCCTCTTCCCAGTATGACCATATAGAATAAAACATCTTCTTTGTCAGTTAATTGTTTGGGAGTTCTTTAGGATTTTTTTCCTGAGAGTTTAAGGTAATAATATACAGAGAATTAAAAAATAATATTTAAAAGCCACCCAAAGCCAGGATTATGAGAGTCCAAGATGACAGATTTCCACTTAAATCAGCATAAAGTGAGTTGTACTCTAAATGACATGATCAGTATTTTTAGCTGGTTTGTTTGATTTTTAGCAGGGTCTCACTGTGTATCCCCCGCTGTCCTGGAGCTCTGCAGACCAGGATTGCCTCCAAATCACACAGATACACTTGCCTCTGCCTCGACAGTGATGGGATTATATGCATGTAGCACCACAGCATCCCATGGTTGGCATTTTAAAGCTTCAGTTAATTTAGAAGTCTATAAAGGTTAAGTTTATCTTTTTTTTGGTAGATACCCCCTTTATTTCTTCCTACTAATCCTAGAATATGAGGTTATACAGATTGGTTGAAGTAAATTAAGGAATAGTAAACACTACTTAGGGCACTGGTAGTAATCTTAAAACTTTAATCCAGTTTCCCTTTAGATTGTAATCTAAATTTCAAGTTGAGGAAAACAAAGATTCCAGACTGTAAATAAAATGAAATGACTGTTGTGAAGGTAATAATTAAGTACTAGAAGTCTCTGATCCCTAACTGGAATGGTGGCCTGTAATCCCAACACTGGGGAGGTGGATGTGGGAGGGAGGAGTTCAGATCTGAGAAGGCATATTGATAAGAAGCTTGAGGCCAGCCTGGTGTGTGTGTGTGTGTGTTAAATGTTTCTGCTCTTTAGGTCACTCCTTCCCCCTCCTGTTTCTAACTTGGCTCTACTGTTGAGTTTTTGTTCCAGATGTGCAACAAGAGGCAAAAGATGACACAGTTATCACTAGAAAAATGAAATGCTTATAGTGACAGGACTTCAACTGATGTTAGATAAATTGTTCATAAAACTATGCTTTTTAAAGTTTGCCAAGCAAGTATGGCTGGGGTCAGGGAGTAGGGACAATAGGAAGTTGCTCATGCAACTTTGCACATTCAGGTCTTAGCACAGAAAAGCCATTTTTAAAAACAGGACTCCTGTCCTTTGTTGTAACTAGGTTTGTTACAAGTTATCAAAAGTCTTATATGTAATACATTACAGTATGCTGTGCCCATACAAGCGCACACACCCACACACACATCTTATAGTAGTACTGGGAAGAAAATGCTTTTGAAGTTCCATGGCTTTGAGCTGTATCATTTTATGATTTAGGTAACATCCCCAAGAAAGGAGGGGCCCATCCTTAGGAATGCAAACCCTGTGGAGAAGGAAGGGGTTGAGAAGGGTCCACCCTACCTCTTTTCCTTTACACAATGGCCCTAGGTTTTTTTTTTTAGGCTTTGTAGGCTGAGGACATTATGCAATACAACATGAGATGGAAGTCTGCCTCTCAAAAGTAAGTCCAGGAAAACATTAGCAGCATTAACGGATGCTTCTTAGCCTTGTTGAGTC